TGCAGTAATTTATCCCTTATTTCTTCCTTCCCAATTCTATCATTTAAACACTATCTTCTACTTTAAGTAGTGAAAAATAAAGATGTCCTACAGAAATGACCCTACAGAGTAAAGTTATTTCTTTTTATCCAGTTGTCAGCCCTAATGTTTCCAGTCTACTGTGGGCTTTGCTCATTTTTTATGGACTTAGAGCTTAATTTTCTAGTAGGAAATCAGAATACCAAACATATTTTTTTGTATTTTGCCCTTTTTTAAATGGTAAAATGATACTGCTATCAACTATAAAAGTGGAAGCTTGTTAGACTTAAAATTCCTAGACTTTGATTTTCTCCTAATTAAAATAGGTCTTGCCTTCCATTTCTGTCCCGTGCAGCCTTTTCCTTCCAGGGTAAGGTAGATTGGAAGTGCATCTGAGAGTGTAGGAAACTGCCTTAGAATAGAGTCCTCTTCAAAAACAGTGGGTAAGTTCTCCCAAGTTGGCAATTGCTATTAGCTTTTATTTAGGACTATAATAAATGTTGCGTTTTAAAATTCTTTGCACTTTTAGAGCAGCCTAAAAATGTCATCCTTTAAGCTTGGTTTTAAATGAAAATATCAGCAGAGAGAACATGCTCCAAGAATATTTATAGTTGTGCCAAGTACGAAGGTCTAAGTCATCTAGTGTTAATGGCTATCGTTTGGTCTTGTGTTTCTTATTCACCTGTAGAAGTTGGCTAGACATCATGATATAGGTGGGAGTTTAACTGATAAGAGGAATTACAATCATCCCAAGGGATACTTATGAAATGAGAAAGGATGAAGGCCAACAGCAGAGCTAACGTCTGAAGGACAGGCTAAAGAGGAGATAGCAAAGTAGTGGTCAGAGAGGTAGGGGAGAAACCAAGGGAGTATTGTAAAAGAAGCCAAGGAAGGATTTCAAGAATATTGTTGACTTCCTCGGGTGCTGTAAGATGGGAACTGAAAAGAATCCATTGAATTTCATAATTAGGAGGTCATTGCTGACCTTTCCAGGGCAGTTTCAATGATTCCAGGTTGCAGTGGGTTAAAGGGTGATCTGGAAATTAATATATAAAAGCAGTTAATGTCGACTACTAACTCACATATGAAGGAAAAGAGAGAGGTGACAGCTAGAGGAGAAAGCAATATTCAGGAGGGACTATTATCTTACAAAGATAAAAGAGACCTTGAGCATATTTATAGGCTGTGGGGAAGATGCCAGTAGCTAGAGAATGATTAAAAATGTAGAATAAATATAATAACCAATGAAATAAGATCCTAGAAAAGGTTGATGGAGGTTGATCTAAGAGCACAGGATTAGCCTCCAGCAGGATTCCTGTTTTAAAAGGAATGAAGATAAAAGTGGTCACAAAATATAGGTGGTATACACAAGTAATCAGCAAGTTTGATATTTACAAGTTGGACCTTATACAAGGTCAACCTATATGCTACTAAGAAATTATACCAGCTAGCGTTTGAGCGCTTACTGTATGCTGTGAAGATTATTAAGAGTTTAAAAAAAGTAACTCATTTAATTTCATCCTACAGCTCTATGAGGAAGGTACTATCACTAATTCTCAATCAAAGAAAGCGAAGCTTGATGAGTTTAATTACACTGAGGTCATGGAAACATGAGGTATCGCGTCAGAACTAGTCATCTGAGCTTAGACGGTTCTGACTCCAGGCGCCTGTGCTCTTAACCACAGTTGTGCTGAGTTAGGGTTGTTGAGAACAGTGGCCATTTGGCAGAACGGAACGGAGAGATTATCATGGACACGTAGAAGAACTGTGTGGCACTGAATGCAGCCGTCAGTGGACCATAAGTCTCTCGTGGCCCGTGTCCACACACCTGGGTTGCAGTTAGCAGCCCAAGTGAAAGATCATAGAAGGGAGAATTGGGGCACGACTTTTCTTTAGATCCAGACTAGATGGATAAGAATATTAAGGCACAGCCTAACAAAAATTCCTGAATTCTAAAGATAAAAAGAAACCCCTGTGAGATTCCTAACAGAAAATATACGAAAAAGAAAAAAGAATCATACTGGCTTTGGACTTTTGTGAAGCTGGAAGCTAGAGGACAGTAGGATAGCATCTACAGACTACTGATGGACCAGGACTCTGCAGCCAAGACCTCTGTGCCCAGTTCTCTACTCGTCAAGGAAAATGAAAGATACGTGAAAATAAAGACTAGAGGGTATCCCACCTGAGAAAAATACTTGGAACAAAGAAAATAACAAAAGGATGAGAAAAGAGACCTCAGGATGGAGAAACGATAGAAAGTAGGTAGAACATGAACACAATACAATCTAAAAGAGGGGCCGGCCCTGTGGCCAAGTGGTTGGGTTCGTGCACTCTGCTTCAGCGGCCCAGGGTTTCGCCAGTTTGGATCCTGGACGCAGACATGGCACCACTCGTCAGGCCATGCTGAGGTGGCATCCCACATGCCACAACTGAGAAGACCCACAACTAAAATATACAACTATATGCTGGGGGCTTTGGGGAGAAAAAAGCAGGAAAAAAAAAAAAAGATTGGCAACAGTCTTTGGCTCAGGTGCCAATCTTAAAAAAAAATCTAAAAGAATAAAGAGTGACTTGGGAAATGTGTAATGTAAAATGCAGGTTTCTTGAAGCATAAAATACGTAATACAAGATAATTTCAATAAGATTGCAGGACAAAATATGCTAAACTATTTCAGCAAAGTGTCGGGTTAATGCGAAGCAGGGAAGGGAAGTGAAGCTGTTTAAAAAGTTTTGCAACAGATGTTAGCTCAGGGCCAATCTTCCTCACCAAAAAATAAAAAATAAATAAAATAGATGTTACAGACCACATTCTCTGGTCACAAACCAATAAAATTAGAAATACATAATAATAAATAACTAAAACTTCAGCTACTTTAAATTCGAGAAACACATTCTTTGACATGACTAAGATCAAAGAGGAGATCAAAAACTAAAACTACAAACTAGAGCAAACGAAAAACTGCTCTTCATTCTCAAACTATGTGTAACCTGTATTCAGAGGAAAAATTAGGGCCTTAAATTCTTTCTTAAAGAAATATGAAAAACGAAAGAACTGAGTAATTGTCTTAAATTCAAACAACAGGAAAAATTAACCAAAAGAAACTGATGAGAAGGAATTAAGATAAAAGCCCAAATCATGGACCTAGAATATAAAAGATGTTTGCTGATCTCTGCATAAACTCAAGTATCAGGTGTATCAGAGCTCAGTGGTTACGGCAAGAGACGTAGCATCTAAATGCTCTGAAGATGATTTTGGCCTTGGCCATTTATCCCCACCTCCCATTATTCGTCTGCCGCAGATTCCTGTCTGGAACTCAGTGGTGGCCAGCGACTCAGGGTTCAGTGACAACGTAATCGTCGGGCAGGCGAGCATCCTTTGGTTGTGCTGCTTATAGTCGACACTCTTGCTCTAATAACGGTGCCCCTGGAAGGAGATTGTGAATCTTTGGCATGCTAAATCAGCAAGAAAAATCTCATTTAGGAAAGCTAAGACCCCAAAACATAACTAGATTATCGGTTTATACATTACTGAGAATTACAGAAGAACAAATACATGTACACTGTATTTGTTTTTTCTTTTTATTCATTTCTTTATTTATCATACCTCTCTAGAAAACTTATTGTCAACATCAGTTCTTAATCTCCGAGGCTTAATAAAATAGACTTCTTGTTGCAATCTTAAAGTAGAAATTTCATCGTTTAAAATGTTATGAATTTGGGTAATTTTTATATTGTTGTTGGTATTTGTTGTGCATTTTATGTTTCCCTTTCCCTGTCCCTGCAGTGCACTGACAGTGATCACTAAGGATCAACAGCTCATGTTTATTTCTGATTCCGTTTGAATTGATGGCAATAGTACGTTTGAATCGCTTGACTTGAGGGGAGGAGGTATGGGAGAGTGTAAGGGTTCTTTTGTAAATTTGTAAAACTGCTCTCTTATTTCTTTGTGATAAGAAAATAGAAAAAACCTTGTGGGTTTTACTACTAGTTAGAAGGTGAGGCGGGTATGTGTGTGTTCTTTACAGAAAAAATGCAGGTTTATTTAGCATAATGTCTGATAAAATATGGGAAGGGGGAAGAGGGGCCCTTAAGCACTAGAATATATCACTTATAACACTTTGTGGCATCTAGTATATTCACTTTGGTTTTGAGGCCCTTTTTCTTCTAATGGACCCAGGAAAACTACTAGATATAATAAGAGAGTCGAATTTGTTTTAAATTCTTTTCATTCTACTAGTTAGGATTTTTTTAGTTATGTTTGGAGGGAAGCCATACAACAGAACGTTTATAAATTCTGTGAGTTGTGTATACATCATGCCCAAAAATAAAATTGCATGTATACATGACACCTTCCTTTTTTATGTAATTTTACCCAGTTTCCAAATTTATGATAATAGAGCTAAGCTTTCTCCTGATTATGAAACTGTTTTTCTTCTTTTCTTTCAGAGAACAGCTGGAGAAATCATTTTATTTTACCGTTCAGTGTTCTTTTAATATTAGCCTCAAAAGAAAGTAGCAGGAAAACATAGTGTCTTTAGAGCAAAGAACACAATGGCACAGTCTTCACCATCAGTATATTTCTGTTGATAGATATCTGGAGCCTTCTGCATTCGTCCATTTACTCTGGAAGCCAAATCACCCTGAATATTGGACCTAGCTTCGTTTCAAATCACTATAAAACATGTGTGCTAGAAACTTTGTCTTTGACCTTCCGTAGCTATTGACCTTCAGTATTATATATCAGCTTTTTAAAAAGCACCCCTTAGGTGAATGTGTATTTTCTCTGTTTGAGCATACTTTTCAAACAACACAGTGTTTTGTGACATTTATGAAGTAGCAAAGAGTTGTTTTTACTCACCATGCCTTTCACTTTTTTCGTGCAGCTACATGGAATTTCTAAAATTTTTTCTTGTAGTTTTAGGTTTTGAAAAGAGATAGTAAAATCTGAACCTAATCTTTGTTTTCTTCGTATGTGTTGACAGGATGAATATAAGCCAGAAAAGGCCCTGTCTGAAGAGGACTTGAAGAATGCCGTGAGTGTGCACCATGCACTGGCGTCCAAGGCCACGGACTACGAGAAGAAACCAAACGTGCTTAAACTTAAAACTGCCGATTGGAGGGTCTTGCTCTTTCAAGCCCAGTAAGTTTCACTGTTCTGATTTGTTTTTGTTTCTTAGTTTTCATAGCACCACTTTATAGCAAGAAATAGAATCAGGATCTGCAGCGGAAATATTTTGAGTTAGAGTCAAAGGCATTAACTAGTTATTTAGAGAGACAACTGCCTAGGAAAACCAGAATGAGAGATAGAAACCCTGGGTCCAAGTTGTTTGCTTGCTACAAAGTAGCCCTGTGCCTTTTGGTCTAGAACTTAATATCCTCATGAATCAAGTACCAGCATTTAGTATGTAAGTTCTGTCAAACAACGAGTAAAACCGACGTGGATTCAAGACAGCATCTCCTAGCTCTTTGCCATGGCATGTAATTTGACCTCTTTGAACCTCAGCTTGTCAGTAGTGTGGGTAATACTGTTCATCTTGTAGGGTTCTTTTGAGAATTAAAGGAGATCAAGTATAAAGAGTTCCCCACACAGTGCCTGGCACGTAGAAACTGTTCAGTAAGTGTAGACTTCCATTTTATTCTCCTCTTCTCTCTCCTTCTAGCTCCAATGGTCTATGATTAAGCTAGGAGAAGAGAAGACCATATTGTGGGCAAGCAAATGGCTAGATTGCCAGTTTAATAAGGAGCCCACGACACCCTTGGATTAGAAGTGGAACATTTCACAGGGAGAATTGTGGATTTGTGAAGTGAGAAACTTTGGATTTTCGGAACTGAGCCTTTAAAGCAGGAATTTTAATAGCACACATAGGTAGCATCAGTGTCCATGGCAGACAGTGTTAATTATTCATGGCGTGCCCTTCACAACCTGAGCTTGACCTCAGAATCACTCTCAGCACAGTACTACCAGCTGACTGCATTTGTCACCAGAACTAAAATTTGGCGTCAGGATAGTGAACACAAGTATCTGCATGCTTATTGACCAAAGCAACGAAAGATCCAAAAGAGAAATAAAAATAGGAGCAGGCACTCTGGTGATTTGTGGATTCTGAACTTACAAAGGTATAAAATTGCTGACTTCAGGTGAGGAGGAAGTTGTAAGGAAATCCAATTTACACAGGATTCTTTCAGTGTGGGAATAAGACAGTTTTAACACCACAAATGGAACCATAGCCAGATGTACAATTACAGCAATTAGTCATAAAATTCCTTCAAATTACAGCAATTAGTCATAAAATTCCTTCAAATTATTCTATTCCCCAACATTATTTTTTTCTAATCTAAAATACCAGATGTGATAACTAAGGAGATCTCATTACTTCAGGTAGAATATATGTAGAAATCAATAAATTGAAATAACAGAGCTGGAGAAATCAAGTTAGGGACACATATGGGAGGCAATGGGGGCTGATAGCTAATGTGGTCTCAGGTTAGTGTGGTTTCCCTCTGAGTAATCAGTAAAGGAAATGATTTTAGATTGGCTGTCATTTTGTATTTGTTAAGTGCTGTCAGTGCTGGGCTCTGCAAATATATGACATATAAAAGTGGGACGATGACATCAGATGATTTCCACATCCTCTCAGATGGATTTTTTACCATCCTATTGAGGTATACTTTACATAGCACTTAATTTCACCTGTTGTAAGTGTACAATTCAATGATTTCTAGCAAATTTACAGAACTGTGTGACCATTACCTCAATCTAATTTTGGAACACTTGCCCATTTTGCAGTCGCTCCTGATTTTCATCCCCAACCCCAGACACCACTAGTCTCCTTTGTGTCCCTCTAATATTGCCTTTTCTGGACTTTTCATATAAATGGAAACATACAACATGTTGTCTTTTGCATTTGGCTTTTTCACTTAACATAAAGTTTTTGGGGTCTTCCATATTGTAGCATGTGTCCGCACTCCAGTCCTTTATCGCTGAGTAGGTTTCAACTGTGTGGATGTAGACCACGGTTTGTTTATTCATTCACTAGTCGTTGGCATTTGGATTGTTTCCCTTTTTGACTCTCATAAATAATGCTGCTATGAACGTTCACATACAGATCTTTGTGCCTATATGTTTTTATTTCTCTTGGAGTATACCCAGGAGTCGAATTTCTGGGTTGTATGATAAATGTATAGTTAACTTTTTAAGAAACTGTCAAAACTGCTTTCCAAAGTGAATGTTGCCTTCTGTATTCCCTCTATCACTTACCCCTCAGTTGGATTTTAAAATCAAATTATGTGATTAAAAGAGATGAGTTAATTTTTTAATTAATTTTTGACATAGCCTAGTATCAAACAGAAAGTGGGTGGTTAATAAATACTTATTTATTGTCAAGTAATTGCGCTTTTTTCCCTTCTGCATCCTTGAGAAAGAATCGCAGCCTTACGCCCTGGTGATCACAGGTTCCAAGGTGTTTCGTTACCATGGTAATTGCTGTTGAAAATGTTGATCTGCAGTGAAGTTTTGCCAGGGATTAGTTGTTCAAAGAAGCATAAATGATATTATATGCCATTTTAAATCAATTATGAGGGGCCGGCCCGTGGCCGAGTGGTTAAGTTCCCATGCTCTGCTTCAGCGGCCCAGGATTTTGCCAGTTCGGATCCTGGGCGCGGACATGGCACCACTCGTCAGGCCATGCTGAGGTGGCATCCCACATAGCACAACCAGAGGGAACCACAACTAAAAATATACAACTATGTACTGGGGGGCTTTGGGGAGAAAAAGGAAAAGTAAAATCTTTAAGTCAATAACGAGAAATGGGCAGAGTGTGATGCACTTAGGTACAGAGATACCTGACGTGAAGATGTCTGTTTCTCACAGGAGTCCAGAGGAAATGCAAGGGTGGATAAACAAAATTAATTGTGTTGCAGCTGTATTTTCTGCACCACCATTTCCAGCAGCCATTGGGTCTCAGAAGAAGTTTAGTCGCCCACTTCTGCCGGCCACTACCACGAAATTGTCTCAGGTGAGTTGTTTTGGTACTGCTTTGACTTTGAACAAAAGCACTTTGTAAAAAACTCTTATTACTATTTGTATTTGAATACTACTCAATATTTTGGGGGCAGGGATGAGACCCTGCCCTCAAAGGGCATATTGCCCCTATTGCCATTGACTAGTTAAGGATTTCGGAAGCTACTTTGATGTCTCTGTGAATTTTTTATTGGTGCAATAATAAAAATAGTTTCATCTGGCTCTGGTCAACCAGGTCTTGATATTGACTCTCCACACATCTGATATCATGATTATCAATGATACATTTATTTAATTAATATGTATTATCTGTTCTCGTACCTCAGAGACTATTTTAGGCTCTGGAGATAGAAAGGTAAATGAAACCCAAGCCCTCTCTGGGACTGGATTGGAAATACGAACAAGCCAGTAATTGCAACAGAGTTTGATTAGAGGTACAGGAAGGATGAGTCCAAAGTGCTGTGGGGGTACGAGGAAGGGGCATGTAGTCTGGCCTTGGAGGTGAAGAAGGCAGTGTGATATCTAATATGAATCTTGAAAGATGAACAGCAGTTAGGTATGATGTGAGAAGAGAGGATGTTCCAGCAGACGACCAGAAATGTCCAGAGGAGGAAGCATTGGGATGCAGGAACCATACTTAAGTTATCAAATGTGACTGGAGCACAAACGTTCCTCTTGTGGAGGTAAGCAGAGGCCAGGTGATGAAAGCTCTTGTCATGTGCAGGATTTCAGAGGCATCACTGGTTCCCCAGTATCCTTACTATAATAGTTTAAGCAGAAAAGTCATTTGGTCAAAGTTGTGCTTTCAAAATTATTCTTGTTGTAATAGGAAGAAAGTATTAGAGGAGGAAACTACCAGAAGCAGAAAGGCTAATTTTAAGGGCACTTTCAATGATGCAGAGGAAAAATAAGTTAGTTGTAGAAGAGATGGGTAGAAGTGGAAGTGTTAGAGAGATCTTGAGGGTGTAGAATGGATGGGCCTAGGGGCTCGTTGAACTGGAGAAGTAAGGGCTGCTATCCAGGCTTGGGCATCTGGGGACTCTGGCGTCTGACCAGGCTTGTGGGGCCTCATTGTGCTCTTGCTTCCCTCTTATTGCTTCTTCCCAAGGTCTTTTCCTGGGTCCTTTTCCTCTTTCTACCTGCGAATGTTGCAGTGCCCAGTGCTCAGAAGCAAACCAAAACAGACACTGGAGAAAGAATTTTTTTAAGTTAGGGAAAAAAAACAGGGACAACATGGTGCCAAGAAATGGGGAGAAAGCTCAGGTGAAATTAGGACAAAAAATATCTCCTGCGAAGGGTCAGGGAGGTCGTAGGTCCCTTGGTGGGAGCAATTTCAAGAGTGATGGGGAGAAGCCCTGGTTGTCCTCTTTGAGGAGGGAATGGACGGAAGGAAGAACATGGAGGAAGGAAATGTGCACAGGTCTTGCCATAAGTTGATTAAAAAAAGACTACAAGTAAGAATAGAGCAGACGTGGTTTTAGGAAAGATTATTTTGTCTTTGTTAAGTTCATAATTATTATTAACATGAATTGGATGTTCACCATGCAAGCATTACTAGTACCATGTAGTTCATGTCATCGTTAATGCCATCAAGTGGATTCCAACTCCTAGCGCCCCTGTGTACTGCAGAACGGAGGCCTGCCCGGTCTTTTTGTGCCATCCTCACCTTCCGGCGCTATATCAGACGACGCTCTGCTGCTATTCACAGGGTTTTCATGGCCAGTTTTTTCAGAAGTGGGTAGCCAGGTCCTTCTTCCTAATGTAGTGTAAAGATGACTGAAAAAACTGTTAAGAATAAAAAGAACCAAGCCAGCTCACTTTACAAGGCAGAATGGCATTTAATTTTCAACCATAATAAATATTCTAAGAAAAAAGGAAGGCTTTACCTCTTATTGATGACCAGAAAGTATGTTGGCAGACTTTTCCATCTACCCAACTAAAATATGAATTCTTGAACCAAATACATTTTCCCACTTTAATTTTGGGTGCTTAACATAAGCAGTAAACCACATTGCATAAGAGAAGAAAAAAAGATTGAAGACCCAGAAGCAAAAAATACCTTCAAAAGTTGGGTTTTGTTCTCTTCATTTCACTAAGGATTTTCCATTTGTTATTTTTCAATAGACTGGCCTTTCTCACGGTCACTCCTATAAAAGATCCAGGGGGAAGGTGAGTTGAAGTTAACGAGGAACATTAATAAACATTAGAGTTGCTCCTCGTTCTTTCTGCACTATAGAATCTACATTTCTGTTTACTTTCTACTTTGAAAAATGTACTACTGTCCAATTTATGTATAAGCTATACCTTAGTAACCACTTGTTCATGAAAATGAATGTGTTCACCTATTTATGTATTTTTACCATGAGACCAAGCAAGCACCTTTATCAAGGCAGAATCTCTTATTTTAAACAAATGTTTTACAGTGGAACTAAAAATAGAATGCATAATTTTTTTGATATTTTTCCTCATTTGGAACATAAATCCACAGAGATACAAAAGTGTATATATAATTTGATCAAAGTGATAGATTCAAGATTTTAAATAAGAAAGCAGCAGCCAAAAAGAAACATCCTCCTTTGTCACATAAGGCAAGATCACCAAGCCCTTTGGGGAATTTAATTTCTTTGTAAAAGAATAAGATGATATCCTCGCCCACACATAAATCACTAAGTCTTTGTGGGCCTCACTGTTCCATCTGGAAAATGAGGAGATCATTCTAGAATGTTTTAAGGTTCTTTCTTTCGCTAGCTTTGTCTTTTTTACCTAGGTCATCATGTTTGTTTACTAAAAGTGGAAAACGTGTTTCACCTTTGAGTTTAGAAACAAATATGTGAAAAACAAGCATGTGATAAAGAACCAGTTAGATGGGAGAGGGAAGAGTTGGTTGGCCCACAGCCTGGTGCAGAGGTTGGGGTGTCCCCACTACAGATGAGACTCTTGGGGGAGGTTTCTGCTGGCGTCACAGTGCACCTTCAGTGGGCCCTGGAACTTGTGTCTGGGTGCACCCAGGAGTCCTGGGGCCTTGATGACCCAGCCGCGCCCTTTAGCCCAGGCATTCCCAGCATCAGCTCTACTGACAGTTTGGCTGGGATGGTTCTTTGTTGCAGGAGGCTGTCCTGGGAACTGTAGGATGTTTAGCAATATCCGCAGCCTCTGCCCACTAGGTGCCAATATCATCCCCCACGTCGTGACAACCAAAGATGTCTCCAGACATCGCCAGGTGTCCTGTGGGGTCAGAATCCGCCCCTGCTGTTGAGAACCACTGCTTTAACCCAGCCATCTTTCCTTTCTCCACGTGCCCACAACCTGCCTATGACTCCCCTAAATGCCAGAAACACGTGGATAATTGCAGTTTTCAAAATACACCTATAACAATGTGAGTGCCCTGCTGGAAAAAAGTTAAACAGTGTTAGGAAGAAACTAAACATTCAATTAAAAGATTGTTTGGTGCTTTTAAAGACAAAGTGTTCACCACCCTGTCATTCACAAGCCTTTCTTTAATTTATTCTTGTCTTCTCTCCAAAACATATTAGCCTTCATTATTAAAACTGATTGTTGTCAGTGTAGCTTGGCTCTTTCTGAGCCACTCTGCCGTGTGGGAGGAGCCGCCTTCTCTAGTTGTTTCTCAAGGCAGTGTTGCCAGAGCACATTTGTCCTCTTCTGCTGGGGCTGGAAAGACTGGTTTGAAAGTCTAAGTTTTGCTTCTCCTTCTGGTGTAGCACTGCAAACTTAGGACTTCATGACTGACCCTCTTCAGGATCTATTTGGGATCTCCCTTTCTACTCATCAAAGTAGTCGTTTTCAGACTTTAATATACACAAGAATTATTTAGGACTTGTTTAAAATGCACATTTCCCAGCCCCCCCAGGTTGATCAGGTCTGTGCCAGAGCCCCAGAATATGGGTATTTTTAAGGCGTGCCGGGTGTGGAGTCTGCAGGCAGTGCAGATCATACTTAGAGACACTGCGCTGTAATCTCTGCCCCCTTTCACTGCTTCTCTGGAGACCTGTACCTCATGAAGTTACCATTTCCTGATATCTAGTCCCATTTTCTCCTTTGAATTCTAGCCAATCTATTGTAAAAGTTTGACTCAATGGATGATCACTAAATGCTAACTGTTGAGGGCCAGACCTTGGGATGAGCACTGATCTGAAACAAAGAAAAGGCCTGTGCTTGCTTCACAGCCTTCATTTTGTCCTGTGATTTGACCACAGGGCAGTAGTGCTAAGGACCAGGTGAGTCGGGAACTGGCCCCTGTCCACAGAGGGCAAGGAGAGGTGGAAGAAAGAGGCAGGCCACTCCAGATGGGTAGGGGGCAGGTTTAATCAGCAAGGGAACTTACTTATGAGGTTTGTTGAGTGGCCACAAGACAGCTTCTAGCACAGGGAAGGCAAGGAGAATGCCCATTCCAAGGACAGGAGGAGGTGAGGAGCCTCTGACCACCTGGGTCGAGTTCTCAGTCCTCTTGATGACCTCCTCCAACAGGCAAACATTAGGAGCAGGTGGATTTCAGAAGAGGAAGCCACTCTTGTGGTTGTCCCTCACGGGCTAGAACCACACCCTTCCCAGCCCCTCAGTTTCATACTTTCAGTCACAGATCCTGCCACTGCTACTTCTTAAATATCTTCCATATCCCACCCAGTACATCCCTTAGTTCAGACTTTTGTCATCTTTTACTTAGATCATTGGTCTCCTAACTTTTTTTCACCTTATCAATACTAAATTTTTGAGCAGATATCCTCCAATATGTGTATTTTTTTAATAAAATATACTCCATGTCCTACTATTAATACAACATGAAAAATGCTGAACATCATTAGTAATTAGGGAAATACAAATCAAAACCACGAAATACCACTTTACAGTCATTAGGATGGCTATAAAATTAAAAAAAATTTTCTTTAAAGGAAAATAATGTGTTGGTGAGGATGTGCAGAAGTTAGAACTCTCATACATTGCTGGTGGGAATGTAAAATGACGCAGCTACTTTGGAAAACAGTTTGGTGGTTCATCAGATGATTAAACATGGAGTTAACACATGACCCAGCAATTCCACTCCCAGTGAGACAGCAAGAGAATGAAAACATACACCCACACAGAAATGTTTACACAAATGTTCCTAGCAGCTTTGTTCAGAATAGCCAAAGATGGGATGGTCATCAGCTGATGAATGGGTGAGTGAAATGTTGTATATCCATGTAGTGGAATGTTACTCAGCCATAAAAAGAGTGAAGTACTGATCATCCTACAATATGCACGAGCCTTGAAGACATTCTGCGAACTGAAAGAAGCAGTCACAAAAGAAACATAGCGTGTGATTCTCTTCCAAAAGGGTCGACTCTTTTAGGGGAACGAACATGTCATAAATTTTAATTGTGGTGATGATTGCACAACCTCGTGAGTATACTAAAAAAACACTGAATTGTATACTTTAAATGGGTGAGTTGTGAGGTATGTGAATTATATCTCAATGCTGGTTTTAAAACTTCTTCCCAACAGATCATCTTTCTGGGGTACGCACACCCCACTTTGGAAAACTCTGGCAGACTATTCGTGTAACCACTCCATATCTCTCTTCCCTAATCTTGCTTCTCTCCAACTATCCTTCACAATTCTGGCTAAAGTATGATTCGTATCATGTCACATCACCTTAACCGGCTCCCTTGCCAACAAGATGCAGGCCACACTCCTTGGCACGGCCTGGGGTGGTGCCTGCACTTTTCATATTCATTTCTTACAGGCCTGTATTTAACATGTATTAAGTACTCAATATACCAATTAATTAAATCATGTTGTAGTTATTATGCTGAAGCTCACTAAACACTGTTTAAAGTCTTTAAAACTCTCTTAAACATGAAATGATGGAAGAAAATCTTTCAGATGGTGCTTTCAGCAGTAGCCCCCTGCAAACTGACTCAAAGGCAGATGTTCTATATTCTAAATTCCATACAGTTTGAGTCTGATAAGTTTGCAGTATTTAGGAATTTGACTTGTAAATTGCCTAGCAGATTCCTAGAAATGTCATTACCTTTTAAATCATCCATCTACTTTAAAACAGCACAAAGGAAACAGTCTGAATCTTCCTTTTTTTTTTTAACAATCCATTTATTCAGCTACTGTTTACTGAAGACCTCTACGTCAGACTATATTAGGTATGTGGGCATTATAAAAATAGCTAAGACACCGGTCTTGGCTCTCAGCTAATGAGAGTTTTAAAGTATGTGTTAAAGTTAGGGAGGTAATATCTGTATGCCAAAAACTGGGCCACATACTGTCTTCTCTGCCCAGTACTGGACTAGGCACTAGAGGATTTGAGAGAAGGGAAAAATGACCTTCCTCTGTCTTCAAGAGCTTGTAATCAGTAAAGGAGATGAAATTCACACAAGAGTCAGAGTATATTTTGTAATAAGCGTATGGTATAGACATTTAAGTGCTATAATGATGCAGAAAAGGAAGAGATTGTGAAATCTGGAGGAACACTGGAGAAAGGACCCGAGTACAACCCACGTGTTTGAGAGCCATGGTCCCGGGAGAAGGCACGTTAGGACAGATGGAGTTTAAAAAGAGCTTTGAAAGTTGAGGTCAGCTTTCAAATATGTAATTTTCCTCAAAGTCAAAGTACTATATAAGTAGGGAAAAATTAAATCTTAAGTGACATGATCTGAAACTTACCTTTTAGATAACGTTTCATTGTATATATGATGAAAGGTTTTACCGATGTACGTCTGTTGACATATAACCCAATAGTTTTTCTTGCACCTATCATTATAATGCTGCTTCTTATCACTTCCTAACTTAAAACAGCTTCAGTGAGTACATGCCATTTCCTGTCTCTGTTCCCTTTCTATAAACTTTGTTGGATATCTCTGCCTTCTCTGAAATCCCTTTTGTGAGTGTTGTCTCGTAAGAACAGCTTTGTACGCTGCCCTCATGAATTGTGAGAGCAAAGCCAAGGGAGAGAAGCCACAGGTTCCTAGTGTCTGTCTGCCTCGCGTCTGTCCCAGAGGTAGTTGTCCTGAGTCTGAGCGTGGGCGTGTCTCCATGGCTGCTGCCTTTCCCTCCCTTTTGACCAGTAGTTTTTGTTAGGAATGTCTGGATGAATCCTTTACCATGGGATTCTAGCATTGGAATAATTCGCATGGTTTACCTGTCTGTGCCCAGAAGAGCAACTGGTGTTTTTATTTCACTCATCAAAATGGAGAGATTTAAGAAATGTGATTTAAAAATGCTTTTATTTGGGGATTACTTCCTTGATTCTTGCTTCATGAAGTCAGTAAAGTAGGAGTAAAGCATTGCATATTGAATTTCAACATTTCTTTGACTAGTTCCTTCATAAAAATATAACCTAAATGATTAACCCTTTATGCTGCTACAGAAATAGTCAGATTTATAAACCATAGCTTAACAATGAGTAAACCCTGGTAAACCCTGCTATTGGTAGGAAAGTGACAAATATGATATGCTTTGCATATTGTTGTGGCTTCTTTGGTCTATCTGAAACATTTCATTGAACAAAGAGAAAAAATACATCATTTTTTATTTTTTGCAGTGGTCTAGTCACCAAATATCTTTTGTCAAAAATTCTGTTAAATAATTTACATGTTGCAGTAAATACACAAAGGAAAATTACTTTGAAAGATAAAGCAGAGCCCTGCACTCATGACCTCATTTAACTTCATGTCCTTCCTTAGAAGCCCCAGCTACAAATACAGCCACACTAGATTTCTACGTAGGCATTTTGGAGGGACAAACCTGCAGTCCATAACGTAGTCTGTAGTCTCCTTGGAGGAAGAAATAGAAAGATGAATGAGAAGTTGTAAATAAAAGCTATCTGAAACGTTTTTAATTTCCTTTCAGTATCATCAGTCTACAAATGACAGCTTGGAGATGTACACCTCCTTCTGAAATCTCAGAATAGGTTTCTTTTTTTTTCCTATACTTTTATGGTACTTCTTTAGGTGTTTTGGTTTGTTTTAGTTAGTTGGTATTTAAAAAGGAATCTTGTCATCTTTCTTTCACTCCACTTGTTCCTGTCACCTCTCTTGTTTATTTTTCCATTCACATACTCTGTAAAAACTTTTCATTGTTCTTTTCTATTTTGATGGCTTTAGACTTAGATTTTTTTCTTGTTTGACTTTTAAGACGTGCATTACAACAAATCCCTAGGATATTATATGTGACTCATAATTTCTGAACATCTTTTTTTTTAATTTACAGTAATGTTATATAATCTTAATTTAGTGTCCATAATTATTCACTTTCTGGCAGTCTTTTTCACTATTCCCCTCACTCTATGATAAAATTTCTATATTTGGAAATTATGTTGGTATTATACAAAATGTATTTATCACCTAGTTTAATCAGTTCCTCTTCATATGCTTTCATCCATTTATTTCTTATTGTACACATGGAATTTACACTCAACAAGAATGTGGATAATTGACATGTGAAAGTGGGATAGTAAGCAAAGTAGTCATACGGTTTAGGAATGCAAGGGAATTCCAGTCTCTGTTTTATTTTTAAAATGCTGCCAAAGGGTTTGATAGTGTCTCTGGTCAGGTAGCTTTTTGCTCAGGTGATATAAATGATGCCCCTAGAATGGAAATTCTTTGACATAGGATCGGCCAGCTTGCATTGGTGCGCAGTGCCTGTAATAATGCTGTTCAGGCAATAGTCACTCTATAGGTACATTTTAATTGAATAACTACTTTGGATCGATATAGTCGAAGGAAGTCAGAACCTCTACTTTGGAGGGAAAAAGCATAGTGGCTACATTTCTTAGAATGTCATCTGATAGCTTTCAGAGAACTATTTCTTGGTGGCACTGCTTGTCTCAAAAAAGGAAAAAATATGCAGATAGGCGCTTCATTCATTATGAGAGACGGGGGTACTAGCAGCATTGCTGAGTGGACTTGACATGGAGAAGCCAAACTGTGTGGCCCTCAGAGTAGGTGTTTGTTTGGCTGGTGCCTTGCCTGTTGGAGTATCTCTTAGGAGGCCTCGTCTCAACTCCGTGACAGTTATCCCTGATAAGGGGCTCTGAAAGCATCTGCTTTTGTGCCGGGGGCTCGGTTGCCGTTTTGCACAGGTGCCTGTGAACACTGGCCTGAGAGAGTCGGTAAGATGTGGCGGCAGGGCACACTGGACTGCCGTGTTGGATTAAAGTCATTCCCATCATCAGGGATTTTTTTAAATACTCTACAATTTTTTATTGATTTATTTTCTCACTGCTAAATGGCTTAATAATTTTCTGCAGGAGGAACAGCTGAAATCTCATGAAAGCAAGCTGAAGCAGATTACCACCGAGCTGGCCGAGCATCGCTCGTATCCCCCAGACAAGAAAGTTAAAGCCAAGGAGATCGACGAATACAAACTGAAAGATCACTATCTGGAGTTTGAGGTATATTGAACCTACATGTAGTAAATGGCTAGACCCGGGTTATTCTCTGATTTTTCCGTGAAGCATATTTTTTGCAGTTACTGTCACTGTGGGAATTGGCTCTGGCTCGGGAGCCCTGGGCATGCTCCAGGTCATGGTGACCCCTCATGTTCATGATTCTATTTAAGCTTCACACAAACATCAAAGGATAACTGTCAGTTTATGTGCTCCAAAGCAACTAGCCTGGCTGGTTGGAATAGCATGTGCCTGCTGCCAGAAGGAGAACAACAGTAGATGGACATGCTGGGGTGAGCAGCTGCTTTCTATGTTTCTGCGTCTCTTCCAGCAGAGTTTGAGTCAAAAAAAGTAGAGTGGAGGAAGTGAGCTCTCGGTGACATGAAGCGTCAGCTTCTTCCTGCTCGTTGTTGCTGTTGGGCAACACCAATGCATTTGTCCTCTGCCCCTTCCTGCCCTTCAGAAGGAAACTGGGAGATGAAGTTGTGGTACATCCATATATTATAGCAAGTGTGGTTATTAAAAAGAATGGGGAGGATCCGTAAACTCTGGAAAGACAGAAAATTTTAAAGTAAGCTGAAAGCAGTGTATATAGTAAATGTTACCTTTAGCTAAATTTTCTCCCAAATTAGACAGTGTCAGAGTTCCACAGGATCCTCTGACTCTCCGTCTTCAGCTGCCACTTTAACACATTTAAAGTGTCTTTTTTTTAAAGTAGATACTATATAGTCCAAAATGAAGAATCAATTATTTTGTAAGTTTTCACATAATTTTTTTTTCTGTTGGGTGTGCTGGATCCATCGTTAGCTAAGCTTTTTCATTGAAGCTCTAGTCTGTTTTACGTCCCACCATCACCTCCTTCATTCCTCTTTTACCATCCTGTTCCCTGCCTGGGCTTAAAACTTAGAACCACCTCAGCACCCTCCTCCTGGTCCATGCAGTCCCTCAGAGTGGAATCAGGAGCCGAATCCCTCTGCTGGGCCTCGCACCTGCCCTTCCTCACCGTGGGCATTGCTTTTATACTTCCTCTGCTCACGTCCCAGGTTTCTCATGTCGCCCCTGAACCTGGTGGTTGCCTTCTAACTGTGTCTTCAGTTCATCCTCCATACTCCTAACACTCGGTTTTCTAAGGCTCAACCCAGATGATGGCATTCCTCTATTTTCCCCTACACCTCCCTACACAGTTTACCTTCTGAATAAAGTCCCAATCCTTAATCTGAGAGGATTTGGGTTCTGGGCTCTTCTTCCATGACAGCCTCCGTGTGTGTCAGTCACATTTCTGCCCACTCTCTCCAAACACTCTATGCCTTTGTTCATCTGCTTTCCCTGCCCCAAATGTTCTTCCCCTCATCTTCATTCCTGAAAGTCCTGTTCATCTTTCAAGATGTATCCCAAATCCCTCCTTTGGAAAGCCTTCTCTAAGTCTGCTCGTTGGGTTTAATCTGTTCCAGTCCTGGCCACAGCTGGCTTTATGTTGAAGTGACTTCACTATGCTTTGTGTCTACATCGTGGATCCTATAACATCTCCCCCGCAGGACGGTGAGGCCTTGCAGTGCAGGGACCTCAAGTTCACTTCCCATCTGTGCTCTGCACTGGCTTGTCGAATTAGACAGGATTTCGTGAAAGCTTAAAGAAGTCTCTTCCTGACTTAGACAATTTATGCTCTAAAACGTGACATTTGATCCAATGCAAACCTATGTTCTAGTTTCCTTCATGGTCAAGCAAGTCCTTGCTCTGGGCAGATGAAGAGAAATCTTTCTTTTATTAAAGCTATAAGTTTATTAGCAAAAACTGTGGAAGCCTTACCATCAAAAGACTTGAAAAAATGTTTTCTAAAAAAATCTAAGCAGCTCCTCTTTCCTCAGGCCTGTTCATTCTTGGGAAGGGGAGCTCTCAAAAAGCAACCCTAATTCTTCACGCTTCCGAAGGGCTTTCAGCTGTAGGCCCTTCTAGTTTCACACGTGCTAATTAAACTTCCCAACACCTCAGTCCCTGCTTCCAGCACCGGACACCTTGCTTTGCACCCTTGACTCTGAAGGCTGAGAGCCTGTCCCCAGGAGTGGGGGTGGCTGCAGGACCACGGCGAAGTTGCCACTGCTGGAAGCACTTCCTGCTTTGAATCTGCTGTGGTGCCCCTTTTCTGAAAATGTAATCCAGCAAGAGCCAGCATTTTCATTTTCTGATGTGAACTTAGACCAAGCTGGGTGGGGATAAGTCCTGTTTTGATCAAATTGTCACCTCAAGGAGCCCTAAGATTGCATTCCAGGACCCTTGGCTAATTAAAGTCAGACTCATCTGCTAATATGCCAAGCACCTGGGATTGGTCTGTCATGTTGCATTAACCTGTGTCTGCCACGAAGGTAGAAGTGTGCTTCATTTTATAGGTGTTTATCTAAAAGGTTTTTGTAAAAGTAATCCTTTTGTTAAGGTGAATCATTATTTTTCACTATCTTAAAATTGAAGTAGTGTATCTTGTGGGGTCCACTTCACTGTTATTTGAGCCACCAGAATTTGCTGTCCTTTGTGTGCCCATGGAAGTCTTTGCATAGTACTAACTTCTTTGCCTTATAAGCAACATTCCCTGAGCAGGCCACTTCATTCCTTGAGTAGGGGTGTGAGAGTTATTGACCATTTTGTATATTTTGTTCACCACTCTGTCCTCAGCTTCTAGAACATGGACTGAGGGCTCAATACATCATATTTGTTGAATGAATGGATGAAATGTTATTATTGTGTATAAAAGATAACATCAGAGGAAGCAGTTCTCTGAGAAAGCTTAGTAGCTCCCCTGAAAACAAATCTGACAGGAAGGGGAGAACACAGCCTGCAGTTCAGTGGGAACCCCACACGGGCAGCGACAGGAAGGGGAGAACACACGGAGTCTGCAGTTCAGTGGGAACCCCACTCGGGCAGTGACAGGAAGGGGAGCTGTAATCCTGCCTGTGTCCTTGTCTCCATGGAAGGCTCACAAGCAGGAATTAGCTTTCTCACCTATTCCTGCAGCAAGGGCCTTCCTGGGGTTTCGAAGCAATTCTTATAGTTTTCACATCTTGATAAGGAAAAATGCGTTTATTTTATTAGAAAATAAAGCCGTTGTAAACATAAACACCGGGGATGGTTCCTAACTGTATGCATTTCAGTTGTTTATGTTACAAGTTGTTTTTTGAGTACGAACAGTCCTTCATGGTGGGCCAAATTCACAGCCCTTTCTATGCTTTAGAATTTCCCAAACCCTGACTGACAGTAAATAGTTAGAAATTCTGGTAAATAAGTAGGTAAAGGGTTTTTTGTGTTTGTTTTTTTTTTAAGTCTACAGAGAGCAACAAGACTTCCATCTCTCTTAGCATTAGCCTCTTAGAAAAAGATTCACTTTTGCTTAAAGCAGCAAACCTCACACAGAATGGGCTGTGATTGACCAAATTCGTGCCTCCTTCTGTGTTGATGGTTAATTAGCGGGGAGGGGAGTTGTTTGCCTTTGAGTGACTCCGGCCCCTTGCTGTGGCTGTTACTTTGTTAGAAAGTTCACTTGGGATCTGGTCTCACTGTTGAAAGGGTTGTTAGGCATCACAAGTTCACATTAAGAAGCTCATCATCATTTCCCAGTTTCAAAAAATCAATATCGGAACTAGCCTCACTTCCTTATAAATTAACTTATTTCTACATCATTCACTTCCCATTTCACTTTAAAATGTTTGGATTCATCTCCATGCTTCCGGTGCTTTTGGAAATTTATCAAGATGTGGGACAGATGGATGTTTGTACTGGAAATAAAAACTTAAAAAGTTCCAGCCAGTCAAAGCACCGTGGGTTGAGCTGGGCCAGAAACTCCGAGCCCTTGAAGAAACAGCCCTTTAAAGAAATTCCCTTGATAACACTGTGGTTGGCCTCAGAAATTTGGCTTTATGTTTCTTCAGCTTTAAACACAACAGCAATTAGAAATTGAAGATACTGTTTGCTCCAGGATGTTATTAATGTAACATTTAAGATGTTTTCAGTGGCTTAAGTAATTAATTCTGAGACCTGAGTAGGGAAGAGGAGACTGTGTAGCAGCCCAAACCTTTTAAAAACATGACTGGGCTGTAAGAGGCTTATTGAAGAGGGGTCACTGAGGGTCAGCGTAACAGAGGCTCCCGCGCTTGATTGTAGTGCTGGTGGAAGACTGGCGGCCAGCACATGCGAATGAATTTTATGTGGCCAGCAGACCTAATGTCAACATGTTTTCTTTGGCCAACTCAAGGCTGTCTTTGTTTTCATTGTAATTGTAACGCATTTACGGAAGACAAGCAGTCTCCTCCCCACCACTCCCTATTGCTCATTTGTGTTGTTGGCCTGGCCCTGAAGGCATTTGAATTTGCCATCCCTGGTGCAGAGGCTGCAGCCAGCCACAGCTGCTTTGTTTGTTAGTTAGCTCTTTGAACTTGGGCTTTGGAATCAACTGTCCCTTCACGGTTAGAAAGTGGATCCTTCCAGGTATATGTGTTTTCAGTTCCAATCCAGCAGGAAAAAAAAGTCCTTCCCTGATGGGGTAACCCAGATGCAGAATCAAGTCCCCTTGGCTTAAGGGGCGAGAATGCAGCCCACTGCCTTTTGCCCCTTAATTTCAACATGGAGTAGCATATGCTTATGGCTTAAGAACAGACTCATACCAGCCACATGGCTAGGAAATCCAATTTTAGAAACAACAAATGTCCACTATAACAAAACATATAAATGTCTTGGGACGTAATATTTTAAATCTAGAAAATCTAGGACATTCTTGAGGCATGGTGCATCTTTTTCTGAATTTCAGTTTTTGGTGGCATATAAAATGGCATGATTTCTTCTGAAATTGACATATTTGAGAATGAGAGCACATTCTGTTCAGCATCATTAGGGAAACTGAAAACTGCTCATATCCAGAAGTGCACATAATATAAATTTCTAGTTGCAAACCATCGATTTTATTGTTGGGTTGTTTGTTGCATGGTGGGTGGATGGGTGGTTTGATGTATTTCTTTTTGAACAAA